ATTGTTTTTAATATATATCATTAATTAAAATAGTTTTTAATATATTTATTAATTAAAAGTTAAAAATAAATGTTCGAATTAATATCAATTTTAAAAAATATTTTCGAAATAAAAATAAAAAAAATAGAAAAATATATATATATATATCTTATTGGAATTATATGAAATGAATAATTACATAGTAATCGTTTCATTTATGGATTAAAATTTTAATAAATATGAAGATATGAAATGTATGATTGGACATATCTGATCGATCTAATGTATTGCAATGTAACTATGAAATTATTCCTTATCTTAAATCATTTCTTTTTCGCAATATAATAATCAATTTAAAAAAATGGATATGAATATATTATACTTCGCTACTAAAAAAAATTATTGATTATTGTCTAGAATATTGCAAGAAAATTTTAATGAAGGATATTGAATAAAATAGATGCAATATTCAGCGGAATATTAATATAGTATAATGATAATTTGATTTTCAAAAAAATAAAAAAAATTAATAGCAATATTATTATTGAAAGCGAATTAAAAGTATTATTAGAAAGAAGGGATAGAAGACCATATGAAGCAACATATTATTAAAAGAAATAGAAATATCAAAGATATTTAATGAAAAAATATGCTTGTATTATCAATCATATAATTTGATACTTTTTTATTAGCTTTTAAATATAATTAAATTAGAAAAAAATGAAATTTCTATAATTTTAATTTTTTTCCTTTATAAAAATATATTCCTGTGATTTTGTTGATGATGAAAATAAGTTTATATAATTATATATATATAGAAAAAAATAACAAAAAATTAATAATAGTAAATCCTGAATCTCTATATATCTTGTGATCCTTTGTCACCATCGACACAAAACAATTGATAAAACTTATTGTTAGAAATAAACTTTCAAGTTTTCGAAATCGAATGAAGTTGTGAAATTCAATTATTCAATCATTTCAAAAAAAATCGTATCGCCGTTAATTAATTTTTATAATTAACAAAGCCTGGTCTCGAATTGCTATCATTTATATACTGTATATATACCGTATATATAATTTTTTTGCAAAAAATATTTAAATTCTTCAAATGAGTTAATTTTTTGAGTTCATTTTACTGGTTACACAATTTATATTTATAGCTTTTATATAATAGCTAATGTAATACATTTTAAGAATTTAAAAAATGCAATTTGAAATTTTTTTTTGGAACATGAAAATTACACACATATATATAATGCGTTAAAAATTTTACATTCATTTTTTATCAACATATCAACAAATAAGAACGATAAGAATATTGCATAGTTTTCATTATCAATTTAAGGAGAATATTATAATTTACAATTAAATAAATTCAAGATTTAAAATATTTTTATACAATGTGTACAGTATTAAGATTGCAAGTTTTTACTAATACTTTAATTTATGATGTTATAATATAAATTACAATTTATATTTAATATATAATAAATTATATTAATATATATATTAATGATCTAAATTTTTAAAGAAATCACATAAGATGAATAACAAATTATTATTTCCATGTTGAATTCTATATAGAACTTTAAAAATTTAAAAATTTCAAGAAATATATTTTTTGAAATTTACAAATTAATATCACGAAACTTATTTAAAACTTAGTTAAAAATTGCAAAATAAATTAATGCATAAGATAAAGTTTAAATATGTATAACAATTATTAAATATGTAAATAACAATTTATAATTTCGTAAATTTCATATTATTTAAAATTTTTGTTCAGATATTTAAAAATATTTTAAATATATTATTAAAATTTTTACTTATAAAAAATTACGAAAAAAAATATACTCATAATTTTTTGTTAATAACTTTTGAATTAGATATAATTATATAGAAAAAATTATTATATGTTAAATTATTTATTATAAAAAAACTTAAATTCTATAATAAAAAAAATAATTACATACATTGGATTAATATTTTGGATTAATATTTTCAAAAATAAAAACTTATTTTTACAATTATAATTTATTAAAATCAAGATTAATATAAAAAAGCATGATATTTTCTATACAAAATCATTATTCTAGATAATTGCTTTATAAGAATATATACATTTTAATATGAAATTATACACGTTGTTTAAATTTACAAAACAATCTATTTTATATTTTATTTGTAATTTATATTAAAATATAGTTTTAATTCTAACTATTATAAATATTCTTAGTCTTAGTAATCTTATTTTATCAATAGCATTGAAAATGGTAAAATGATAAAGAAACTTTTAAAAATCCCAAATTGTAAAAAAAAATATATTGAAAGTCGTATCATAGATTAGATATAAGAGTAAATTAATCATTCGATGTATTTTTTGATTCAAAAAAAAAATTAGGATTTTTCATTATCATTTTCGCATTGTTATCAACATAAAAGTAATTGTGATGGGATTCTTAGCAAATTATAAATACCATATTAATTCAAATGAATGACATGCACACAATTTAAAACACATATTTAAATAGAAATCTATGAAACAATCTAAGATTATATAAAGAGATAGCAATGAGAAAGAGAAATCCAAATTAGTGAAATTCCTTGAATTTTTTAAATAATAATTAATATTAATTAATATTATATTAAATATTAATTATTATATAATAAATAATGAATAAAGTTCTAGGCGACCTGTCATCATATTTAGAGAAAGAAAAAGAGTGAGGAAGAATCTAAATATAAAATTTTATTTTCAGAATTTATTGATTCCCAAAATATTAATAAAAATTTTCAATCACACATTGAAAACTATATATACAGACATTATTAACATATTAAATACTGCTTATCCAAACATATATTATTAACATATGTATATAATAATTGTCAATGTCGAATTAAGTTGATTTTAATAGAAGCTTTTAAATTATAGTTTAACCTAATATTCAACACGTTTATAAAGTATATACTTAAAGTAACAATATTTATTATTTTTTTTATTCCTTCTTATATTGTATTGTCCTCCGTATTTGATATCGTTTTAAAAATAAAAATATAATAAAAATAATTTTTGCAGGAGTAAAATAGTATTAAATGTAACTTAAATTTATATAATGATGGTATTTGATAAATTAAATATATTTTTAATTTCTTGAAAACGAATGCAAGAAATTTTATAAAAAATATAAAGTAAAAAAAGTAATTGAGCGCTAAAATAAAATAACGAAAATGTTTATAAAAGTTTAGCATTTATTAGAGATGCTTTGCTTATAACTAATGTTTCTTTCCAAATTATAGATTTTTTCTTTCTAATTTTCCTTTTTTTTTTATACATTTTCGAAATTTTGTTATTTGTGAGTGGAAAAAAGAGAGAAAATATACGCCATGATCTGCTCTTTGTATAGGGCTCTTAAATTTTTTTTGATATTGCTTGGCACATCGTTCGATACTTTATACGAATAATCAGATTTTTGTATTGTAAATGAGACATTTTATAAATGCCTACTTTGTTGGGTATTCCACTTAATTCGATGACGGCTATTATAGCAAAAACAGTTGATATTTATTTTGAAAACTTAAAACTTATATTGAAAAAAAATATTAAAATATGTCAAAAAAATCTTTGCAAATATTTATTTATTTAAAGAATTATTTATTATTAATTTAATTATTTATTTAAAAACCGTTTTTCTGCATCAAATAGTGACTATTTGCCGAACAGCACACAAATATATATTAAGTCATTTAACTCTTACTAATACTTTAATAACTATTTCATCATGTAATTATCATTCATAAGCAATTAAAAATCGATATAGCAATCAAATTTGGTTCTCAAAAATCTAAGCTGATTGGTTTATTTCTATATCTAGTCTATAATATAGTATATATATTTAAATGTTAATTAATCTTTTATTTTATGAGTAATTTATTAATTTTATCATTTGTAATATAATGTTATAATATAATGTATATACAGATACACATATAATGTATATAATATAAAAGATTAATATATTATATTATAATATTTATAATATTATATTATATTATAATATTTATAATATTATATTATATTATAATATTTATAATATTATATTATATTATAATATTTATAATATTATATTATATTATAATATTATATTATAATATAATATTATTACTAATTTAATATAATTTAATATTAATTTTATAAAATATTTAATATTTAATTAAATTATTATTTGTATTAGTAACTTTTTCATTCAATATCAATAATTTATTAAATTTATTAATTTTTTAAATAATTTATTGTTTTTAATTTATTAAAATTAATTATCTTAGAAATATATAAAAATTGTCCTATTGTTATGTAAAGTAATTAAGTTAAATTAAGTGATGGCCGATAAATCAATCATATAAAATAAAAATATAAATATAAAATAAAAAATAAAAGTCCTATTTAATTATATATAAATAAGAAAGCAAAAATATAATAATAATGATATTATATTCTCAAATCTATATAAATGTTTTTCAATTAAAATAATTATACTATCAAAATAATTTGAAATTAAAATTTTGTATAATTATGTATGTAATAATTTATATTGTTTATGATTTTGATCTTGAATAATTCTTGTTATTCTTTGTTAACTGATCTTTTCTTAATATCATCCTGTTGATTGTTACGCGGGATAAATTGAAATAAATGACGCAATGCGCGATCATGTTGCGCATTAATGATCTATTTGATGCAAGGTTGTAAGCTAGTGTCCTCTCGAGGTTGAAACGCTCCGATGATAGCCTCACTGTTCATTTCGAATGAGAAAACCTATGGTGCATTCTATTCGGATTGTTGCATTGTGATAATATTTGCTTCTGATACATTGTGAATTAGGATTCTAATTAATTTTAATGGATAGTTAAGTGTATAAACATTCATTTATATTGTTAAAATAATATTATTTCATTTCGTTATAGTTTTCTTTTTAAATCTCATTTCATAAATAAAATATATTGATATTAATTATATTTTTCGGATATAATATTTCATTCATATGACATAGCTAAATATAAAATTATATGAATATATAAATATGCATGTATGTACGTATATTTATAGTGAAAATACAAGTTACCACGATAATCATGGCAGTGCGTTGTGTCAATTAGAAGTGCGCCTACGTTCGCCGTCCAAGATCGATAAACGGTAGAGTTATACCTAAAACGAGCGTTCGCTTGCGCACAACGAATGAAATACTGAGTGTTCAGGAAAGAAAACGATGCCAATGACGAAAGCGACGACGCAATATTAACAATTGTGACGAAAACAGCAACAGTGGTTACGGCAGTACGGTTAATGACCATTCTATTGCCGATGAGTGTCAATAACGATGTGTTGGTGACAGTGATCGGTGTCGGATAATATTTCAAATAATCATTGTTATGAAGGAATAAAATAGGTGTATAGAAAACATGAAAGTTTTAAAATTCATGGAGAAAGCTTTAAGTTATATTATGGCATAAATACAGTATATTGCATAAATACGGTATGGAATATCAAATATTTTAATCATTCGATTCTTTATTCGTTTATTCATCAGTATTGTATTTCTTTTTGTCAATTTTATAATTAATTTAAAAGTAATAATTTCTGATATATGTGATATTGAATAACAATAACAACACTAAAAAATATATATCGATTTAAACGGAAATAATAATTTTATCTCACTTTTGTTTTTGTTTTTATCGTTTACAATGTTGAAAAAAAACTAATTGATATCTACTTTTCACAAGTATGAATATTTTAATTAACAAGTTTTGAAACATCACGGTTTTATATATTTTATATATTTTTAATTCTTAATTTACGATTATTATTATTTTCTTTTTTACAATATGATTCATTACTATACAATTACTTATTTATCGATGTAACGTGTTATCGAATTAATAAATCAACAGAAATTAAAAATCAGAAAGAATGGTATTGCTATTCGATGATATAATTACTTAACAGGATCGCTCAATCGATCGTATAAACGATTAATTATATATATATATATATATATATGTATGTATGTATATATAATTACATATATACAAACAGAATACAAGTATATAAGTAGAGTGAAATATTGGAAGTAGAGTTGGAATTTCATTTACAAAGGAATGTTGAAAACATTTGATAATTATAGTAGGGGAAAAAACCATATGTATAGCGTTGTAACCTATACATGTACACAATAAGTGGAGAAAGGAGTACTGTACACATAAAAAAATATATAGGTACAGAGAGAATAGAAGGAAAGAAGCCACAATAATGAAGGAGCACGGAAGCAAACTTCCGCCGGAACAGCCTGCGAAAATTCTCAAGTCCTTGTTAAAAAAACCTGGTCAATCTAAAACTAAATCGCAGAAAAATCGAGTTGTAATAAACGAAAAATTAAATGAATTTTTCGCTGCTGATTATATAATATTAATAAAGGAAGAATGTTGTGCTGATTATGAAGAAGATTGTGATTGTTGTTGTCAAGAACATGAATTAATGCGTTTAGGAAATTGTAAAGAATGTCGAGCCGAATTGAATCTTCATTTTAATCTATCGGATAATAATCAATACCATAATATGGAAAGAGATGAAGAAATAATACACGAGAATACATTAAGAGAAGAAAGTTGTAGTAACAAAAAATTCGAATGTGTAGAATTGCATCTAGAAAATGAAGATAATGAAGAATATGAAATAGAAATAGAAAGACATAAAGAGATCAAAAAAATAGAAAGAGAAGAAGAATTAATGGATAATAAAGAAATGAAAGAGATTGAAGAAACAAAGGAGCACGTTATACAAAAAAAAATCGAAATACGAAAAAGTACAGAAACTGAAGAGAGAAAATTTGATATAGAAGAAGATGAAAGAAAAGGAAGAAAAATAGCAAAGTCGCGGAATATATGGGATAAAAATAAACGGATTAATGAACAAAAGGATATCGAGAATCATAAACGAATGGGTGAATTTGTATTGCCATCATTGACAATTACATCGTCGTTATCTTCGCTATCACCACCTCCTCCACCGCCATTACCACCGCCACCACCACCACCACCACCACCTCCACCGCCACCATCACCACCACCACCACCACCGCCACCACCTCCACCACCACCTCCACCACCACCATTATCACAATCATCAGTAGATAGACCATCATTGCTTCCAAAGCAAGAACATCAACAAGAAACATTAAGTCCACCAGAAGGTTACAAAGATGTTTATTCTAATGGACAACTTTCTAACGTAGCAGAATGTTGTTTACGATCATCCTTAGATTATCTTCACTGCGAACGAAAGCTAGGTAAGTTTTATCTCAATAAAAATACCTGACAATTCGTTGCATTTTATTATTAATAAATGATTTTCTTATTAATTTTTTTTATTAATATTATTTTATTTTCCGTTAATTAGGAATTATTTTCCAAATAATTTCTAATTAACTATAAATACAAATCGAAAAAAACATTCGAATCAGTAAGAAAAACATATTACATACATATATTATAGAATGATAATATTTACACACATTTTCATATCATTTCTTTGTATAATATAAAATGCATAATAATAAATAATATATTTCGAAAAAAGTTACAGCGTTTTTATAACAATTCTATTTTCTTGATATATTTATACAATCAATATATTTATATGTTAATATATTCGTAGAAAATTTCTGCAAGATTTTAGACAAACTAAACTCTTATAATTTGTTACACAAAAATATTAATTAAAATTTATTTATTATACAAACAATTTAAATTTGCATTCAATGAAACAAGATGGTGATAATGTGATAGAATGATTGTAACGGAGCAATTTTCATCTAATGTTTATTATATTAAACTTTAATTACATAATTTGATAAATTAACCGATATTTTTATATAATAATTTTTATATTTGTTTTCATCTTTAGAATCAATTTTTAAAAGATTCTATAAATATATTAATATTTTATATAAAAAACATAATTTCGTATAATTCAAACTTTCTTCCTATTATTAATAGTTATTAATTATAATAATAATAATAATAATAATAATAATTCATAGTTAATAATTATGTAAAAAGTATTCATACAGTAAGTAATTTTAACAAAAATTTCATTATGAAATTTCATTTAACAAAATATCAATAAATAAATAATATATATATATTTTATAAAACTTATAGAATTTATAAAACTTCATAGAATAATTTATATAATAATACAAAAAAAATTACAATATCTATATCTGTTGTTTAATATTTTCAATAAATAAGTAATATTTTATAAATATTATTTTATAATATAAACAAGTAATATTATATATTTTTTTAGAAATCTATAAAATAATTCACATAAAAAAATTGCTATATCTATGTTGAAATATAAACAAATATCTAAAAAAAAGTAAAAATATATGCGTAATAAATATTCGTACAGTCATATATTTCGTTAAATATAAATGTTCTAATTTGAACATGTAAAAAGATAAAAATTTATTTCAAGATATGTTATATATATTATATATTATAAACAGATAAGGAGAATGGAGAAATGGTAAGATCACTATGTTCATTAATTTTTTTTGTCCATATTATGTAATAATGTTTTCGCAATTCATTATTTATTAATCCTATATGTTAATTAAATATAATTAAAAATTGTATATATTTTTTTTACATACTTTTTTAAATTTTTATTTTTTTTATGTTTATATTTCTATATTTATATGATATATTTAATAAAATATACTATACGAATATTTATTATACATATATTTTTACCTTCTTAAATATTTGTTAATATTTTATATTCTTCATTTTCTGGACATTTATTAATTAACAAAGTTCTACAATATTCTTGAAATTAACTAGTGCACTTACAAATATTTTTTTATATTAATTGCATGTGTATATTGATAACAATATTATATAACAAAAACTAATATTAAGAATATTTCATTTTACATGCAAAATATATATAAATAATTAACTTATTAACTTAATTTATTAAATAATATATCGATTATTGTTTTTCAATTATATATGCATAATCATTATTATAGTTTTAATAATTTAATAACATTTTTTAAAAAACCAAAAATAAAGAAAAGAGAATGAAAAAAAAACTATAAAATAAATATATAAACATCGATCGCATAATTAATGAATGCTTACCACGAATTGTTAGCTTTTACAGGAAGTACAGTGTACCATAATTCCGGTGTTTACATGCTACAAAGGATGAATATTTGAATTTTGTAGAAAACTGATTTTAATCATATTATATAAAATAATATATATATATTATAAAATCAGTTTTCTATAAAATATTTGATATCTTTCTTTGCGTTAAATATATTCGCATATATTTTATATATATTTCTTATACTTGTATATACTAAAATTAATTAAATGATATAATATGATTTTACAGACCCGGAAATTGATGGAGAATCTAATCATAAAATAATGGAAAAGAGATGCAATCATAAAATAACAGAAAATAATAATGAACATATACAAAAAACGGACGAACAAAAACCCACTTCTAATGGTATAATTATATTTTTCTTAATTCTTTTTTTTGTTTATACAAAAAATATAAAATTAATTCTTCGTAAGAAACAATATAAGTAAATTTTATTTCTTTTATAGAATCTCATCATCGATATCTCGTGGAGACTATAACTATGACAACTGTTACCGAACACCGTATTGTACGTGAAATCAGTGAAGATATTGATTTGCAAAATGGAAAGAAAGTTAATCGAAAAAATGTTTCCGAAGAAAATGTTACTTCCCATAATATAACAAATAATCATAGCACAATCAGTGAAAATAATTCTATTGATTGTATCGGATATAATAAAGAAATTCATTGTCACAATGTTACCAATGATCATAATACGCAACCAGTAATGATAAACGATATTGAAAATGACAATGAAAACCAGTTTGCGATAAATCAAACTCCATCTGATATAAAAGAGTTTTCCCTTATTTTTAAACTAGGTAACTCTTCTTTAATGGGTAATAGTCTTAAACCAAATTCGGCAGTTAGACAATTATTTCCTAATCCAAAATTTGTTTCGCCGCCACCAGTCCCTTTTGGAAAAATGATTTCTTCGACGCATGCTCTTGATGATCCTCAAGATAACCCGACATTTCTCGTTACTACAGATAATTCACGTTTTTATGGTGCAACGAAAAAATCGAAAATTTCTGAAAATCAAACTGTATTTCTCCATGAAGAGACAACGAATCCAATTAAAAGAACGATCGAGAGAAATACTCTTCGAAGAAGTTTTCTTGATAAATATCGTACAAATTCTCGAAAGAAAATTCCTTCCAAGAATTTATCATTAGAGGAACGAATACGTCAACTTACTTGCGTGGATCAAGAAGAAGATGATATTTATCAAAATTCTATTAAAGATGTCATAGATTCATCGAATACTGAAATCGATGCTGAATGTTTTGCTTCGACACATGCTTCATTATCAGAACACAAACAAAATAAATTGTTATCAACGGAAACACTTATTCGTAATACAGCAGGCATTAATGAAATGTCAACAGTAACAACATTATCGGCACCGATACCAGTCGCTACGAAACTCAATGCATTGCCTGATTTAACAACAATGACTACCACCACGATAACTACAACAGCAATGACAACAATGTTAATATCAAATTCTTCATTTGTAATGACCACGGCGACGACAACAGCTATGACAACAACTATTGCGAGTTCCAATTATTATAAACAAACTTCTTCAGCTGGTAATAGCCCAATTCTAGATAACATACACAATCATTCGACATATAAAAAATTAACTGATTTGTTTGCACATAAAAAAAATATTCCTTCAAATTTACCTGATCTAGGTCTTGGTAATAATGGAAAAAACAATATCGCTAAAGATAATCAACAATCAAAAAATTCTTTGAAAACGAATAATTCTGATGTTCGTAAACAATTTTTAGCCAGTCTTGCCCCATTGTCATGCGTAACTGTTAATAATTCAGATACTCAAGAAGATTACTATCAATATAATTCTAGAATGGAAAATCGTAGTTCTACAGTTTATAATACTTATAATACTTTTTCACCTTACAATCTAGAAGATATCAAAACAGTATTTTGTGAAGAAGATCGAAATAATGTAGAACCAGACATTACTAAAGGAACACCAACAAATATCAACAAACCAGATGTAGGTGATAGTACAACAGATGAATTATTGGCATTTATAGAACAAGACAAATTTAGAACTGAAAAACTAAAACGACGTTATAATGAAGTCGAAAATCAATACCATCCAGTAATGAATAATATTATTGGTTATAACACTGAAGATAAAATCAATAAAATTGTTGATGAAAGAAATGAAAGTGATAATCAGCAAGTTGGATTTACTTACAACGAGAATATTAATGAACATGAAAACAATGGAAACAAAAATCGTACTGTAATTAATGAAATGCAATGCATTATTAATCGCCATTACAGTAACGGCAATAATATTAGTAGGAATAATGATATTGAGAACGATAATGATGACAATGATGACGATGACGATGATGAATTAAATGATTACGGATTTAACCGTAGACCATCAGTAACCGGCATCAAACGACAACAGCAAGATAATAATATCGAAGAAAAATTTCATCAATGTGGAAGTCTGGAAAATGATAACACAAATGTTCTTAAAACAAATTTTCATTCTTCGCTACCGACATATTACGAAGATAATTGTATTAAACTTGATAGCCGAATCGCGTTATATGATGAAACAATAAATGGTTCTACATCAAACACATTTGTCGATACTTTAGTTGCTGATGAACAAGATGCGAACACAATTAATAGAATAAATACAATGCAAAAACAAATTGATGATATCTATCAAACTATTGTAGAGAATACTAATGTTACTGCTCAAAATTCTTTGGATTGCGAACAGTATACAGACGATGTTTTTATACAACAATATTCTCGATTACCAGCGAACGATAATAACTTTCGTTTTTATCAAGATTCGAGAAATAGTCAACAGTATTTTCAAGAGCCATTAAATATTACAAATACACGATCAACACGAGGTGTTGCAACCGGAGCTGAGGAGATTGATGGCAATAATGCTATTGCTGGTATCAATGAAGATAAAAATACAAATGGATTCTCTGGAAAAATTCGACGAAAAGAATCCATTGCAACTCCTTCTAATTATCGATGTAACATAGTGCCTACAACTACGTATAAAGGAATTCCTACTAATGGCAAGTGTTATCGAACCATGTATTTTGTTCCGTATAATGGTATATCCGATCCAACTTATCAAAATATTCAACGCATTTTGCCATCTCATCCTTCTCCTAGTTACGCGAATCATATTGAAAGATATCCATATCCTCGATCTAACAAAAATGATCATCGATTGCAAACACAAACGCAAACACAACCATCATTATCAACAACGCAGCAATTGAAATATTTCCATCGTTCAGTATCACCAATAACAAATATTTCTCAAAATCTTGATCATATTTCGCCACTTCCTTCTTCTGGTTCATTCAGTAATCATTTCTCGGGATCTTCTCTTTTAGATTCTCGGCTCACATCGTCTAATTCAATTACATTACAACCTACGCAACAAACTTTGCATCTCCATTTGCATCATCGTCAGCAACCAGATGATTTTCGAATTTCCGGAGTTGCTTTTTCTTCAGTTCCTCATACTGCGAATCATTCGTTGCAATTTCATCATCACAAGCAACAACAACATCATTCATATCATCGCCACAATCACCAACCAACCTTTTATCGTTTACCATCCACCATATCCGTAACATCTTCTTCTTCATCCTCCTATACCGTAATAGCGCCATCGAGATGTGCTTCCTTTAATGGTGACGGAATAGCAACATCCGAAGGTTCTTATCGATTTTATCAACTACATTTAGGACGTACCGTTCTCACACCTTCCTCTGATTTTCAATCAACTCAAACATTTTTGTGTGATTCTATTTCAGCTCCTACTAATTCCACTTCGTTTTCTCCTGCATTATCATCTTCGTATTTATCATCATCTTCTCTACAATCCACTTTCTGTTCTCTACCAATAGTTACACCTCAACAAATATCTCAACAAACCTCGAACTTCGTTTTTCCAAATCATACAGGGATTATTCATTCTGTTTCTAACAATCTCGTAACTTCTGCACCATCCACTATCACTGTTTCTTCTTCCTCAACTATCTATACCTTATCTTCTTCGTTGACATCATCGTCATCTTTAACGTCATCATCTGCTTCTTCTTTTTCTTCTTCCTCTTCCTCTTCTTCTTCAACTTGTTCCTTTTCTTCCTCTTCGTCATCTTCCTCCTCATCTTGTTCATCATCTTCTTCGTTACAAATTCCTTGTTCACCTTCGAAACTACAACAACAACAAATAATTAACAATTATACAACAATAGAACGTGGAGTTCCTGAAGGAGCAGCTAATGTACCATCCCACGATGTTTCGCAATCCGGAATTTTACTTACAACAAATTCTTATGTCACACATAATTCCACTGGTGTTCAAGCTTTACCAACTCATGCGCAAAATTCTATATATTATGCCATGAACGTTTAAATTTATACAAATCGTTAAGTATATGTGTTTACGTATATATATATACACAATATATATATACACATAAACCATAAGTCACAATACAAAGAATCATATAATGCAATCATTATTTGAATATTTCAAATAATAATGAATTTATTATTCTTATTACACATACTTAAAACATATAAATAAATATCAAAATAGAGGTTTACTACTTATTTCTTTTAAGCAAAGGGAACGAATTCATCCATTTTTGTTCATATAAAACAACAATAAGCGATGATAAAAATATTTGCATTTTTATTAAGACACGCAAATAGATAAACTGCCCTTTTTCGAATTGAATACGAATCGAATCGAATTAATTAATTATAGAATAAATTATAGAGAAAAAATGCACTCAAAATCTGTATAATTTTAAAAAATTGTTTGCCACTTATCATATGGCAAGATTCTAAATACATTATAATGGATTCTAGTCACGATGATATACTTACAGGGATATCAAATAAACCAAAGGATGTCTTCACAATTTTGATGTGCAGATGTAAGTACAGCTGATACAAATTATTTTCAATAGATTGAAATTAATTTTTGCAGTGGAATTGAGAAATAAATAAATTAAAAATTTTATAGTTAAAAAAAAAAAAAGAAAGAAAGATGTGAAACATGTAAAAATAAAAACATTAGATTTAAGTTAACGTCAATATATACGTATGTGTGTGTGTGCGTGCGTGTATTATATATATATGTGTATATGTATATATATAACATATATATATAGTGTGTGTATGTATATAATATGTATATAATATATATAAAATGCAATATTACATTGCTTTGTTTTTTTGTTCAAAAATATCAGTATTATATGTATTATTATTATATGATTAGATGATAGAAACTTCAGATGACCACAAATTTCATGAACGATATCAATTTAACTTTATAAAATATTTTTAAATATCAATTTCTATGATTTGCAGATCATTAATTTATTTAGAGAAAAAAAAAATCACAGAATTAATCATTATTAAAAATAATAAATAATAATAAAAATAATAAGTAGCATTTTGCTTTTAGAACTAATTTATGTATTTCATATTCTTTGTATTATAATAAAAATACAATGTTTAAACATAAAATAAAAAATGAATAATTATTAAAACAATATTTTCGTGTAAAACATTTCATAGATACTATTTATAAAATTCAAAAAAAATGTAAGTATTTACGATATATGTGTAACACCATATTTTTTTGTAATATTTTTCATGAATTATTGAAAGTAAAGTATAAAAAAATATATCTTGTTTTATAAAATTTAGTAGACTTTTGTCAAGAACAAATTTTAGCATAAATCATTTAGATATACACGTATCAATGTAATAAATCATAAAATATAATCATAAATAATCTAAAAATAAAGTATCAATATAATATAATAGAAAATAAAATAATATTCGAATTTGAATGCAATAAATTTTAATCTAAAGTTAAATACTAAACTTTTATGAAACACACAAGTCTTAGAAATAAATTTTACATATATTATAATTTACTTAATTACTCCATATTATCATGAAAAAATTCATGTAAATAAATATTTAACCATATTGAAGTTTGAAGTTTTATTATTCTAAAAAAATCAAAAAATACTTATTAAATATTGTAATTAAATTAAAAGGAATATACTTATCTTAAAACTCTAATCATTTAAAAAATAAATAAAATGTGAAAATTTTTTTTATATTATTTTTTTATATTATTATTAAATGAAAAATTCAAATTTTCTCAGTTTAAATATAATATATATAAATATTATAAAAAATGAACATTATTCACTATGTTTATTGATAACTTACCTGTATTTCCTATTTTTGAAACAAAAAATTGAAAAATGAAATTGATTTTAAAATAAAAAATTCTTTTTCATTTATAAACTAAAACGCATAATATCGAGAAAATGATGTAAGATTTTTTTAATATTTTTATCATTTGATTTTTTTTATAAAAAAAGATTATTTACATTGCTATCATTTGTAAAATTTATTTATAAAGTTTATAAAAAATTCTATTTTATTTAATTTTTTAAATGCAACAAAAATAATATAATTTAAAAACAATGTAACAATAAAAGACAAAAATTTATAAAAAATGTACACACATTTCTATTTTAGTCTTTTTTTTTAAACTGATTTATTAAAAAATTCACACTACTAATTTATCAATAAAAACGTCTTACATATTAAATAGAAGAATGTTTTACAAGTATTTTTGATACGAAATTTGTATAGATGTTCACAGTTGACGATTATTACAATTTTTCTTTCGCGTTATAGCCAAAAAGCATCAATGTTCGCTCGCTGCTTTAGATTGATTAAACAGAAATCAATCATCGATCATATTTCTTCCATGAGTATCTTCACAAACGGATAAATGTATGTATGCATAAGTGTGAAAGCACGCATGCGAGCATATATATATATTTTGTATTGATAGATTTATACATATGCATATATGTACACGTGCACATGTAAACACGTAATGTACGTGTATATAATGTGTGCATATCTTTTATATATAAAATGCTTGTTTTTATTTTTTGTTTTTGCAAATCGAATGAGATGAAAACGAAAGATAGATCGTACCAATAATTAGACGAACTATCGTTAGTCGAAGTATTTTCGTATGCACCGTATGACAAACTCACACAGTCATTGTTCGAACAGCGCTAATAGATTTTAAAAACGATGTTAAAAGCTTTCTACAAAACAATACATCGTCTTCTCCTAACTGGTTCTGGAGGTTCTAATGCTGCTAGAATTGCTTCGTCAAATACGTTTTTTAAACCTTCTAAAAAAATAAAAAACAATATTACTCATGTTAAAGAAACATTTAAAAAATAACTATAAAGAATATAGTATTTTTCGAGATCACAAACAGAACCATACTTGTGTAAGAGCACTACATTCCACATATTTTACTGCTTTAAGTTCCTTGGCGAGTTTTTCACCTTGTTCAGCCGATATAGGCTTTTGTTATTTTTTGCAAGTTTTTCAATAGTTGCTGCATCATCTCTCAAATCAATCTGAGTACCAACTAGCAAAAATGGAGTCTTTTGGCAATGATGAGTTATTTCTGGAACCCACTGATAAAAAATTTTTGAGTTAAAAAATCATTTTTGTAAATAGAGTTAATAAATATATATACATACTTTTTCCTTAACATTTTCAAAAGATGATGGAGATACAACCGAAAAACAAACAAGAAATACGTCAGTTTGAGGATAACTCAAAGGACGTAATCGGTCATAATCTTCCTGACCTTTAAATGAATTATTAATGTTTAATATAATATATATATATATATATAAAAATCAAGATAATATAATATAAAGACCATAAAATATGTAAATATAATAAATGATTATATAATAAACATATATTTAAGATTATTCAAGACTCTCTAATAATTAATAAAATCTTCTAAAGGAATAAATAGAGAAATGTAAATTCTGATTAAAAAGAAATTATTTCATTCAATAAAATAAATTTTATATGATTTTATTTTTAACAGTATCTATCAATATGTATATTTATTTTTATAAATGACTTTTTTTTCTAGTCTAATAAATTATAAATTTAATAAATATATGATACTTACCAGCTGTATCAAATAATCCTAAAGTATATGGTTCACCACCAATCATAACAGTTACAGCATAATTGTCGAATACTGTTGGAACATATTCGGATGGAAACTTATTGGTAGTATATGAAATCAACAAACATGTTTTACCTACTGCACCATCTCCAACTACAACGCATTTAATAGTTTGCATTTTTTCTATTTTCTTAAAATATTCCTGTGCAAAAAAAAAGTATAACATGTTACTAAACATATACATGTATTTTATACATAAGAAACTTTCTTATATAAATATTAATAATCAATTAAAAATATTAAATCAATTAACAATATAAAGTTATGTTTTATAATATTTGATTTAATTCAATATAATTAAATTTTATCATTTTTTATCATGTCTCATTATATCCCGTCATGTCCAATTATGTTCTTCAACGTATATTTTATTAAATAAGTGAAAATATATTTTGAATTCCAAAGGGTACATTTGCCACACAAATAAAAAAAATATTTATACAACAAATGAAAAGAATAACGATCGTCAATTTTCAATAAGTCAACATAATTACAAAGATAGATCTGTGATGAAATAATTGTTTTTCAGATCGCCATTTTTGGTATTTTATCAAATCTATCGACTTTTATTTCGATAAATTATTATTCAAATGTATGATCAAATATATTCAGTGACATGTTTCACGATTTAATCCATATTAAAATATAAATTACATTTAAAAAAAGAGAAAATATACACGAAATTTGACTAAAACACTCACAAGTAACTGGGCGTCGACAACACACTTTACTGTCACAAATTTTTCAAACAAATATAGAAAGTCAACGATCAACGATTCATTATTTCGAAGATATAGAGTCAACCGCCATCTAGGATATTTTATCCTACTAAGAATAAATAATTTTTGCATTAATAATAAATTATTTTTGATTTTCATCGATTCTATATAATTTATTATGATAAGATATTAAAAATAATTCTATTTATCCATTAATTTATTTTATTCAATTAAAAAAATAAATAAAGAATAATATAAAATATTTAAAAAATATAATTATATATTATGGTCATAAATTTATAAAATATTTTTATTATTCAAAATCTGTTTTTAATATTAATTTCTTATATATATTTGCATTAAATATTAAAATATAATATGTACAATATATAATATATATAAATTAAATCATTTTATGCATTATATATAGATAATGTATGAAATTTGATTAAAATTAATCAAAAAATAAAATTAAAATTAATTAAAATAAGTTACTGGATATTGATAACATATTCTATTCAAAAATTTTTAATTTTTCAATGAAAAGTCAACAATCAATGATTCAATATTTCAATATTTCGAAGATATAGAGTCTATATATATATAGATAGATAGATAGATAGATAGATAGATAGATAGATAATATAATCTCGAAATAATATGTAATATATACATATATATATAAATAATATATTAACTTAGTTACATATCATAAATACAAATAGTTCATGTTTAATTTGATATAGCATAATAATATAGATGGCGTATCGATTATATTTTATTCTTATACTTTTTTAAATGGAATGAAGTAACCTAATTATTTTTGTTCAATAATTTTATTAAGTTGAGTTATCTTTTATGCATCTTTAATAACATAAGCATAGAATAAAAAAATTTAGAAATTTAATATTACATATAAATTTAATTAAAGAAACATATGTATATTTAATATTGTTCATTATCTTTTATCCGTGAATACTAAAGTGAAATTAAAGTGATTTTTGCAAATATGGGATTACCTCGTGTATATTTTGATATATCAGCTGATGATAAATCATTAGGTCGTATCATAATGGAATTACGAACAGATATAGTTCCAAAAACAGCAGAAAATTTTCGGGCTCTTTGTACGGGAGAAAAAGGTTTTGGATATAAAGGAAGTATCTTCCACCGAGTAATTCCTAAATTTATGTGTCAAGGTGGAGACTTTACTAATCATAATGGCACAGGAGGAAAATCAATTTATGGAGAAAAATTTGAAGATGAAAATTTTGAATTAAAACACATTGGTCCTGGCATATTGTCCATGGCAAATTCTGGACCTAATACCAATGGTTCACAATTTTTTTTAACTACTGTAAAGACTACTTGGTTGGATAATAACATGTAGTTTTTGGTTCTGTAGTGGATGGTATGGGTATAGTAAAAAAAATTGAAAGTTATGGTTCTCAAACTGGAAAAACTTATCAAAAAATTATGATTACCAATTGTGGTCAACTCTAAAATATTTTAGCTTGATTATTTATAATATATTGTATACATATATACATAATATATGTGTATATATATATATATATATTATTTTTTTTATTAAAATATGTCCATTAATTTTTATAAAATGAACATAATATAGAACAAGCAACAACAAATAGAATAATTTGTTTTATATGTAAAAGTGATTGAAAATATATATCTTATTTTCTGACATATTCTTTCATTCTCATATTTGCATTAGAACTTACTTCATAATAAAGTACATTAATAATAACTAACTAATATGCAAATAATTGGAAAATAAAAGAATATAAAAAATAGAAAGACTATAAAAATAAATGTACTTTCTTTCATATTTTAATAAAATGTAAAAACAATGTAAATGAATTATTAAGTTTATCAATTTTATATATATATATATATTCAAAAAATATACATAGATTCAATTCTCAAATTTTACAAATATATTTAAATTCATTGATATTCACACACACACACACGCGCGCACACACACAAATACTTACATACATTCATACAACTATATATATAGAATAATATATTGTAAAAGAAAAAAAATTATTTGCAATGAGTATAGCACATTCATCATAGAATTGATATTAAATTCATAATTGAACAATTCAAATATGCGATAAATGCATCAGCAAATAACAAAAGAATTAAAGAAAAGAATTCTATCTTTATATTAAAATCTAATAACAATATAACAAGTCATAAATTGTTAAAGTATCAATCAATACATATAGGTAAATTAACCATGAAGAATATATTAAGTTCCAAGATAGAAGCGAATATTAAGAAAATCATATACATAGTAAGACAAATTATTCCAACGGATCGTGTTAATTTAAATTTGCCAACTAAAAGAGATAAATAAAGAACGGTAAGAGTAGAAAATAACGATATGGAGCTATATATTAGTCCTTGAGAATTAATCGTTACATAATAATTGCCAGGTTCTTTCGAAAAAAGTGCTGCTTTTAAAAACCAAGGTAATCCAAGACAAAGTAACACGTCGAACACATTCGAACCAATTGAATTACTGATGCCCATAGCTCCATGTCCTAAAATTAAAAGAATTATATGTCAATTACTAAATTTATAAAAGATACATTTTGATTCAAAAATATTGAAAAATAAAATAGAAATTAGAATAAAAAAAAAATTATTAATTAGAAATATCATGAAATTTTACTTTAATTATAAATATACATGTATAAAAGTGTTAACATATTACAAATACAATAATATTATACAAATAATATTAGTTATCTATGTATGAAAAAATGAAACAAATTTGACCAGATCCTAAATATCGTTTGATGTATTATCGTAACTTGGCATATTAGTATTATCACGATTTTTATTCGATAGTTACTATTTTTTGATCGATTTAATGATTATAATAAATGATAATGAAAGATCATCAATTATTTCCGAATAAAAATAGTTTGTTCAAATAGAAATTGATTTTAATCAATGTCTCATATTAATACTATATCAAAAAGTCAACACGTAAAAAAAATTAAATTACCTTGATTCGCAACAATAACACTCGACACAGCCTCCGGTACACTCATTCCTGCCGCAAGAAAAGTTAATCCCATTATAGAATCGGGAATTCTAAATGTATCGCCTAAAATAATATTTATTATCACATAATATCATTTAATTATATATTTGTTATATTGTATTTGTGCATTTATTATACATGTTTATATTATATAACTCATATTATTATATTTTTTATAACTAATTATAAATATTTATTATAAATAAAATCTACCAATTAAATAGATGAAATTGTTTAATAAAAATTATTATGCATACCAATTACAGTAATGACCCATCCAACTATGTATGAAGTAGATGCTATCCATATTATGCACATAATAAAAGTAAGGGGATACCAAGATTTTAATGTGCTTCTTCTGCAATCGGGAATCGTGATAAGAAGCACAAAATTTATAGGCCAAGTAATCAACCACCAAATTCGTTCACATTTCGATTTTGGCCAATTCGTCATATTTACAATTTCAACTAGAAAACAAAAACAATATCTTACTGTATTTTATAATTATATGTATACTATGTATACTACACTATATGTTTTTCATATAATCCATATTACTTACGCGATTCATCTTCTTCACTCGATTCTAATAAATTAATATCTGTATTTTTAATATCTGAAAGAATAAATGAATAATATTTTTATAAACAAAAATCAATTACATATAATTTATAAAATTGAGTAAAAAATTAATCAATGTAAATAATACCATTAGAAAATAAAGGAGTTTTTTCAGAAAGATTCTTATACTTTTTTTTTGTTCTTGTTGCATATCGAATAAATTGATGTATATTACGATCGAAACACATTACTGAAACGATAAAAATTCACATATAATAGAGCTAGAAAAATAAATAATCTACGCAAAAATATTTATAAATATATATAATATTAAATATAATAATAATAGAATATAATATATATTTTTTTTATAATATATAATATATATACATATAATACATGTATAAATGTTTTCTTTAAATTAAATTATTATATTAAATTATATATATTATATATTTTAGAAAAAAGTTTATATCATTCGATATTAGAATCTTAAAACTATTTGAATTTTAAGCACATTCTTCTACTACTTTTACTTATTGATAAAAAAAATAATAAAAAATAATATAGTGATAGAGGATCAATTTAATAATATATATCATAAACTTACCTAAAATATATAAAAAATATGAGAGAACAAGAATCAATGCTTCGTACCATTCAATACGACCATCTTGTAAAGTCAAAATTAATAAAAGAACAGTGATTGCATATGCAATAGTATCTCGCGTTACAGGCCATGCTTCTAAATTCAATATCTATAAAGAAATTTACTTTAATTGTTCCTTTTATTTTTTTCATTCCTTATATATATATTTTTTTTATATAATTTTTCATATATAATTAATAGCATTTTATTATTAATAATAAAAAAGAATTGTACCTGATTTGCAAATAAACCACAACATGCAGGTACCGCTAATATATTGAAAACCGCAGAACCAACAATCGTACCAACACCTAAATCTCCCTCTGTAATAAAAGTACCTACAATATTAATGAATAATTCTGGACTAGAACTAGCTGTTGCCATAATTGTCGCTCCTGCGACATCTTCTGAAACGTTAATCTCTAAAAAATCAAATATATATAATGATTTTAAAAATATTTCTTTTATAATTTTTCTTCTATTTTGAGAATTAAAATTAAAAAAATTTCATTTTTTCTTTTTTTTTAATGAAAATTATGTATAACTTACTATCACAAATTTTTTTAATTGATGGCACAAAAAAGTCATCACAAACAATAGCAAGTAACAGAAACATATAAATTGCTATTATAAAATGTATCAATATAAATCCCAATTGTCTTTGTTCTCTGGTAAGGCCATCAGATGGAAATTCTTTGATCGCTGGAGGAGTACAATTATCTGTTCTGTTTTTTCCAGATTCAATAGTAGTTAATCCAATTTGTAATAATTTTCGAAATTCTTAAAAAAAAATAGTATATATATCTTTCTACAATAATAAATAATATATAATATGATTTAAATTTATAATAATGGAATGTAAATTATTTAAAAAAAAATATAATGATACTTTTTGATACAAATAGAATATATTTAAATAAAAATAAAAGAACAAATGAAATATTTGAATAGAATGTTTAAATCATATTATCTTTTGATTAAATAATATATAAATTTCTCTAAAAATTCTACAAGATATATTATTTATATATTATTGTATTAGTATCATCTATTTTATGATACACACACACACACACACACACACACACACACACACACACACACACACACACACACATATATATATATATATATATATATATATATAATATATATATAATATTATANATAATATTATTATATATTTTATGTTTTACCTGTAAACTTTGAAGACTCTCGTATAATTGATCAATATTTGATGCACCGAGAAGAAGGCACTGAACACTTTCATTTTTTAAAGACCATGCAATAGCCAATTGTCCAAAGGAACAGCCGAGTCGTTCGGCAAGTGCACATACGTCTCGTAGTTTATCCGAATATTTTCGTGTTTCGTCATCGGCTGATTTCTCTTTCCAACCATATTCCTGCTAGAACAAGAAAAAAAGAATGTATAAGTAATATTTTTTAGACGTTATTTTTTTAATGTCTAATGCTAGTTATGTCATATTTTTACATAATAACAAACATAAATATTATGAAAATAAATTTATTAATATTAGTAGTTTATTAGTATTAGTAATTATTTTAGAGTTTTAAAAAAATTTTTAAAAAGCTTTAAAAAAATTTTTAAAAAGCTTTAAAAAAAACTTTCAAATAGTATGCTCAAAATTTCTTTAGAGTTAGTCAAAAAGATTTTTTTGATAAGCAAAAATTTGATTTTGATTATATTTATTTAAAATTTTGTCATTTTTTCCGTTTCAAAATATATTTTTATTATTATAAAAAGCAATTATAATGTTATAATAAATGTGTTTAATATGTGATTTTTTATTTAAAAATCTTTTTATTATTTTTAAACTTTAAATAGTAATACATATATATAATGCATTCTTAATATGCAAAATATAAACACACACACACATACACACACACACACACACACACACACACACACACACATATATATATAATATATATTATATATAAATATTATATATAATATAGTACATAATATTTACTTTATATATATATATGAACATATTACGTAATGATTCATTCTGAATTTTAGTATCTCTATATCACCTCCATCTTTTTCGTGTAACGTAACCGCATGAATCCATATATATACATGCACACATTGTAATCATTGAATGTCTACATAATTGCTCTTTATTACCTATCTTTGTTATTAGACGTTCATTTACTTTGTAAGAGGATAGCTAATCGTTATAGCAATGCGGGAGAAATTTAATTAAAGTAATGCAATGACAAATGATATAATATATTTCCTATATATAAAACATATAAAAGAAGGGAAAAAAGGAAAAAATTAAAAAGATGAGAAATTAAGAAAACAAAACTTACGTATATCCGTAGGATTACTCGCACTTGTTGTATTATTTAGAAAAAATATTGATAAAATATTTATGAAAATCAAATACATTGTAGGAATAATAATCATGTAATATATTTTGTAACCTATCATTTGTCTGTGTTTTTTTACCATTTTAAAATCGTTTTTTTAATTAATTAATTAGAAAAATTTTCCTTTAGTGATCGAGTCAAAGATGTGATTTGCCGTTCCGTATGATACTAATTTTGATTCGCTAAGTCAAATCGCATCGATGTTTTTCGTTTACTAGCATTATCGGTTTCAACTTTACACAGATAAGATATTATATAGAGCTTATAAAGACATCCCTTTACTGATAATCCAACAATAGGAATGTTCCTTTTATTGGAAATCTCTAATTATCTATTAATTAAATATCTATTTATTCATAATATATTGATTATGTCTATTCTATTTTAATATTATAAACTTTATATATATTATTTTCATTATCATTTATTTTATAATATATAATTATTATATGCAAAAGTAAAACTACATTTACTTTACTTATATATATTTCAATATTAAAATAATATTCCATCTTTGAAAAATGGAACAAGAATTATTTCTTTCTCTTCTTTTTTCTCTTTTTCTTTCACACACACATATGCATGCACACATATTTCCTTCGATTAAACTATATAATTTTAAATCAAATTATAATTAATATAATATAACAAATTTATTTATAATTTTTCATTATTAATTTTATTTTATATATAGAATATAAAAATAATAATATCTATTATTTTTTTAAATTATTTATTTCACAACATAGTTATTCTTTCAATTATAAATTAATTTGTAATTTTTTTTTCTATTTCTATAATTTATTATTTCCTTTATTTATCACGTTATATATCTTATGATAACATTTGTAAATATTATTTATTATATCATTATATGTTTCTTTGAAAATAACCAAATAAAAAGAAATTGATGGCTGTTAAAATAATTGAAAAGAAAATTGAAAAAATTAAGTAAAGCAAAATAGTTGATTGTGTCGGAATAGAATATAACATATACGATACGACGTTCAATTTTCAAGGAAGCTATAACGACGATTAGTGTAATGACAATTTCGCATTTTGACCGCGGCACGATTCAGCGGGCGCGATGCGCGAGAGATGAGAAGAGTTAGAGGGAGGGGCGATTCTAACAAACGCTGCCGGACTTCGGAGTAGTTGTTAATGTAGTATATGTGTGACAACGGGATTGACAACATGGATACGTCTGACTTAGGAGGAGGTTCGTTAAAATATATTTTGAATATTATTGCAAAAAAAATGTTTTTTTATGATACGACAAATTTGATCGATATAAAGGTAATTAGAGTGATGGGTTGTGCTTCATTGATGGTGAAAAATAGAATGGAATAATATTAAAGAATTGAAATTAAAGTATCGAACAAGGTGGAGGAGTCGTAGGAAGAGAAGGAGCAGGAGAAGGTGGAGGAAGACGAGGAGAAGGAGGAGAAAAAGAAGGAGGAGGGACAACAGGATGGTTAGCATCAGCATTAGCAGCAGCAATAACAACAGAGGAAAGAGTAGAAGAATATGCATCATAAGGAAAAGCGAAATGAAAGAGGATAAGTATGGGGTGGAAAATGAGGCAGAGAAGAAGAAAGAAAACAGGAAGGAAACGAATGACAATGCAAGAAAGAAAGCTAGAGAAATATTGCAAAGAGTGCATTTTAAATTAAATTAATTTTTCTATCTACAGATGTGTCGTGCGGTGTTGCATATTGTGCAATAATACTTGTGATTTAGTTTTTAATGATTATTATAAAGAAGTAAAAACAGAGCAACATATGTTGATTGAAAATAATTTTATATAGAAGATTTATCAAAGCATAATATCGCGTAAAGTAAAATATTTATTCTTATAAATTAAATTATATTCATTATTTTTCTTTTGTGATCATTATTTTGATAAGAGAATCGTGACATGCCATAGACATATTCAAAAATTTACAAAGCAATTTAATTGGCGAGTAATCTTGTTCTTTGCCCATCCCTGCTTTCTTTTTCTCTTTCTCTTTCTTTTTTTTTCTTATATTCTTTTCTTTAACTCTTTTTAGTGCTCTTTACTTTCTATTATTTTTATTCATTTAACTTTAATTTTATATTTCATTTTTTATATTGCATGGCGTTTTTTTATATTGCAATATTGCATTTTTATATATGTGTATATAAAAATATAAATTTTTTAAAATTCTTTCATACAATAACTTAATAAATCATTTCTTTAAGTGTCTTCTAATGATACATTAAAAAATTTGATTTATTTATGTCATAATTGTATCATAATTTGCTTTAACATGAATATATGTAATATTTGCATGATTCGTTCTTTACTTTAATTTGATTTTTGTATTTTCATCAATTGTTATTATTTTTTCACTTAAATATGATTTTATATTTAAATATGTTTTTTAAAATACATTCGATCATGTATAATGTTAGCATTACAATTTTTAAGAGCATATCCAAGAGGAAATGAATAAAGAAACGAATTCTAAAAATGAGCGATGTTATTCATGATGCTCTAAAATTCAGAATTCAAGAAATTTTAAATCTACTTGGAATTCGTTAAAATTTTTGTAATAAAAATTCTTTTTCCTCTCTTTAAACGATTCATAATAAATAAATACATTGAAAGAAATATATGTCAAAAATGAAGAAATAAAAATGCATATATAATATTGAATAAATAATAAATAAAAAAAAACATTAATTACAGAAAGGCAAAGAAAGATAAATTAAAAACGCTATTAACGCTAAAAACGGCATCATATATGATAGACTTTATTGATAATAAAAACACACAATATATAACAAAATTTTAATATTTTTTAAAAAAAAGTATATTCTATTAAAAAAAATCAAAAGATTGTTGATTGAGAATCAACATTTAATGATCGATGATCGAGTCGATGATCATCGTTTGTTTCCAACGAGACAAAATGGTTCGACACCGAATGGTCAAGCCACGTTATATCTAGTTTATACGACGTACATTAGACATGAATGGCATCTCCTCTGCCAACTTGAATGAGAGCAATTTAACTTCTTTAGGTTGCTTAATCGGTAGGAAGTCACATCAACTATACAGCTGTGTAACCTGTACAAGACACCAATACGTGCATCATTTTCTTCATTACATCGGCTGTAAGAAGTCATAGGAGAAGAATTACTAAGATCTAAGAACGAAGGTGAAGAAACAAGGTCTTTCATGTATATACACCAATTATGGAATATCATTTTTCGAATTAAATCTGATTTCTAATGATTATGATAGATATAACTATACATTAATTTTTATATTATTTTTAACTTAATTTAATAAATTAATAAAGGTAATAAAAATCAATACAATTGAAGAAACAATAATGTATAACTTGACAGTTTTTGTTTTAAAAAGATTATTATATAAATATCTTGATATCTAATATTGTCTTTTGTATGACTTTTGAGTATATACAAGTTTCAATATATGAAATCTATCAAAAGAATGCATTTACAATGACTTTAGTTAACAACGATTAGCGAGCAATTGATATTAATATCTCTTAAAAGAAAAAATTTAATGAAAACATGGAATTTTAATAAAATTCTTACAATTTAAATATAACAAATTTCTTACAATTTAAAATAAAAGATTTTGATAAAATATTTATTACTAATTTGAACATAATACAATGTTTATTGGTTCATTTATGTATTAAATGATTTTTTTATTATTATCAGTAAAAATACAAATCATGTTTATATTCATATATTCCATTTTTTCAATCGCTTTATTAACTACATATTATTACATATTATAAATACATATTATCTAAAAATCTTGTATAATTAATAGAATCCATGCAAAATCTACATATAATCTCTATAATTTTGCACACACATGTATTTGCATGTATTTAAGTTACACATTTTTGCAATATATATATATATATATATATATATATATATATATATATATATATATATATATATA